AATTTCTTTATGAATAATGCACATCTCTCCCTACCCCTACTCCTCTCAACCCCTGGAGTTAGGATGCGTTAGTGTAATTTTACTACATCAGACTTCAAGGTTTTTTGCGGGGAGTAGGAGGACATCTTGTTAAAATATTCTCAAGACATCTTACCAATTTATGTTCCTTCCAGTAGTGTATGAGAATGACTATCTCATGCATCTTTGCTAGCACTGTACATGATTACTTTTGAGTATTACTTGGTAAAATATATGGGTAAGTACACATGAAACTGTAGACAGAGGACATTTTGGAATTCTTGTCTCATAGTTTTTGTTCTAAATATAGGGGAGATAGGTGCAATCATATGAGAAGTACCTCGTCCTCCTTCCATCAAATTGACCAGCCCTCCTATGTTATGCCAGAATACTTTGTCTTCCTTCGCATTTCAGTGGAGGAGCTGTCCCTGTTCTCACTGGAGGCGAATGCCTCTCCATAGCTAAGATGGATTCCCAAACCCTTTCATCCCTTCAGGGACTTCACTCTTTCTCCCCTCCTGCCTTATTAATTTCTCACATTCCACTTGGATCATTCTCATCAGCACAAAACCTGGCCTGTCTTTAAAACAAAATGAAAAAGAAATGTCCTGTACCCCTTGTCTCCTATGTTAAATAAAAGTTATAGGAGACTGTTAGTTTGGACTGATCTCCTGTACTAGGCCCAACAGACCAAACCAAGATGAAGTCACTGGTGCTGAAGTTTCACACCACCAAGCCACACTAAGTTGTTTCTCTGACCTTCCAAAAAATCAGGAGAGAGAGAAAATAGCCAGATCCCCCAAAAGGCTGGTTTTAACTGGCATAAGGAAGTCCTTCTCTGCTTTAACCTTTAAAAAGAAGTAACTTTGAAATGACCAATCTGCTTTTTGTTCTCTATTTCTGCTTTCTTTGTCCCTTTTCTGTCTATAAAGTAAAGTTCCTCTGCTTAGCTCATGGGGAACACTTTCTATTTAATAGAATGAGGTGTTGCCCAATTCTAGAATCTCAAATAAAAGCCAATTAGATCTTTAAACTAAATTTGTTGTAATTTTTTCTTTTGACACCCACTATCCTATTTCTTCTTTCTCCACAGCAAAACTGGAAAGAGTTTCTGCTCACTGGGAAGAATAATCTTTACTTACTATTGTTCTCCCATTCTCTCTTCAACCCACTGCAACACCATTGGTCCTTTTAAAGTATAATTTTCAAAAAGTTAAAAACTTGGCTCTCGTGCAAATATAAAATGAACATGTGTCAAATATTTTATTCAACTAATTAATTAATAATGAGACCAGTAAGATGTTAAGACCACTTCAAAGGAGATTTTGAGGAGCAAACATGGATGTAGACATTGGTATGCTGAAATGAATTTTGCTAATATATATATAAAAGTGGTTAATATCCTGAAGGCCAATAAATGTAATTTTCCACCCTTTTCTATAGGGTGGAAATCAATTGCATCATTACAAGACAAAATTCATTTTCATTGCTGTAGACAAGAATCATTTGCACAGCTATCCATTTCCTATGGCTTAACTTCCTACAGAGTTGTAAAGTAGCCTACTCAGTAAGATAGTCCCTCTAGACAATGCCTAGCATCACACTGAAATGATATCCAGTAATTACTTTTGCCCATTTCCAGGTCTTAGACAATTTTTCCTGACAGTCCCACTATAACGATGACATTCTTGACAAAGCCAGTGGTCTTCCGTCCTCATCTGAATTGACCTCTTAGCAAGATTTGAAAAGGTTGAATGAACACTGTCCTTGAAAGACTTTTACATACTTTAGTACACGACGTTCACCTGATTTCTCCTGTTTTACCCACTTCTCTTTAGTCTCTTGCTGACTTTGTTTCCTCTAATAAACCTCTAACTATCAGGGTGCCCCAGTATGTATCTTCAGCCCTGATCTTCCCCCGAGATCCAGACTCTTAACTACTCATGTCTACCGTTCAGTCTAGTTCAAGCTACCATCATCTCTTGCCTGGACTATTCCAGTTTCTCATTGGCCTATGTGCTTCCACTCTGACCTTCTGCAGTTGATTCTCTACTCAGCTGCCATAGTGATCTTTTTAAAGCATGCTATCCCTCTTCTGCTTTAAATGCTCCAATGGTTTCTCCTTGTAATTCGAGTAAAATCAAAGTTCCTCTTGGCTCCTAAGGCCTTATGTGATCTTGTCTTTTCCTACGTCATCCTATCCCTCTTCTGCTTTAAATGCTCCAATGGTTTCTCCTTGTAATTCGAATAAAATCAAAGTTCCTCTTGGCTCCTAAGGCCTTATGTGATCTTGTCTTTTCCTACGTCATCTCCCTTCAGTCCATTCGTTCCTTTACCATGCATGGTCAAACTGGTCGTCTTTCTGCACCATGAATATGCCAAACTCTTCCAAGGCCATTGTACTTGCTGGTCCTACCCCCAGCAAAGATAGCCTCTGTTGACAGCCTCTTTGTCATTTAGATCTCAGTGTAAATGTCACCTCAGAGATGACTTCCCTGATCACCTTAGCTAAAGTGGCTCACACTCCCAGTTTATTACTTTACCTGTTTTATTTTTTTCATAGCCCCTACCAGTATCGGAAATCTTATTATCAATGTATAGTTATTTTTCATCTCTAGAGTGAAAACTTCTTGATGGTAGGAACTTGGTTTTGTCTTCCACTATGTCCTAGTGCCTAGAATGACACCTGGCACAAAGTTTGTGCTCGTTCAATATTTGCTTATTGGGCTGTCTGGTTTGTTCAGTTGGTTAGAGCACAGCCTTATAACACCAAGGTCACGGGTTGGATCCCCATACTGGACAGCCACACACACACACACACACACACACACAAATTTATTTACTCCGATTGTGCTCACATCCTCCCTTGGTTTTCTAGAAAGCCTTCAGGAAGTAAGATGGTAGAAAAAAGCAAAGAGGCTTCATAGAAATACAAAACATGGGGCTGGCCCATGGCTCACTCAGGAGAGTGTGGTGCTGATAACACCAAGGCCATGGGTTCGGATCCCTATATAGGTATGGCCAGTTAGCTCAGTGGGTGAGCATGGTGCTGACAACACCAAGTCAAGGGTTAAGATCCCCTTACTGGTCATCTTTAAAAGAAAGAAAACTGCGCTGTGGGAGAGATTGAAGCACTACCCTCTTCTGTGGTTAAATCTAAACGGTGACATTTCCTCTCCTCTGTATTCTTTCTCCACCTTTCCCTACCATAGTTGCACACAAAACTGGGGGAGAGGGCAGGAAGGAACTTAGCTTTGGAGAAAGGAGGAAATTAATGTTTTCCTGAAGACCTTGAAAAGGGGGACTTGGTATGGAGTTTTCTTTTGGGAAAATTTTTAAAGTTCTGGAGCTGGATGGTGGTGGTGGTTGTGCAACAGTGTGCACGTAATGCCACTAAGCTGTACACTTAAAAATGGTTAAAATGGGGAGCTGGCCCTGTGGCTCACTCGGGAGAGTGCAGTGCTGGTAACGCCGAGGCTGTGGGTTCGGATCCTGTATAGGGATGGCCGGTGCGCTCACTGGCTGAGCATGGTGCAGACAACACCGTGCTGGGGGTTGTGATCCCCTTACTGGTAGAAAAAAAAATGGTTAAAATGGTAAATTTTTGTACATTTTACCATAATTTTAAAGATTAAAATTTAAAAAGCAGTTGTGGGGGAGTGTTTACTAGGGCTCCCCCTCTTGGTGGGATTGTATTCTTTTAGTAGTTCTGATTTAGCATAGGAATGAAATTAAAGTTTTATTTTGATTGGAATTTTTGACACAGGCAGGGCTTCTAGAGTCTGGAGAAAGTCATTCAAGATTTTTTGTTCTCACAGTGCTGATAACACCAAGGTCAAGGGTTCAGATCCCTGTACCGGCTAGCTACCCCAAAAAAATAGAAAGAAGTTTTTGTTCTTGTTTTTTGTTTTGTTTTTGTCATTGTTTTTCCCTCTTCTTTATTTAGGGAGGTAGATTACCATGGGAAGTACCTTCGCTTCTGGAAAGCCAGAGAATAACAGGTGGAACTCTAGAAAGCAAGTAGTAAGGAGCTGGCTTTTTTAGAAGTGACATAGCAGAGTGGGCAGAGAAAGGCCCCTGCCACTTAGCCTGTGACTATAGACAAAGTCACTTAATCACCAGAAGCTGGGTATCCTGACTTTAAGAATTGTTGGGAGGATTAAAGATGAGTGCCTAGCAAAGTACCTGTTATATGATAAGTGCTCAGTGAGGGGTAGCTGCTTCGATTATGAGGATGTGCTCACTGTATGGGATATAACGCAATTCACTGGAATGAAAGCAGGAACTTTAGTTTTTACCTCTAGGTTTCCTAGACTATTCCACCACCCTAAATGAGAAGTTAGGATTCCAAACCTAGATCAGAATAAAGATTACATGGAGATTTGGAGCTTCTTGGTACTGTATCTCTTGGAAATCTAAGCACTGTAGAATAATATTGTGTGAAGTATACCATTGTGGTGGGAAGTTTTTGTTTTTTGTTCTAACTGTGCTGAGTTGGAAGGCCGAGTTCCTACAAATGACCTGATCTGTTGTACTACACAGGAAACAAGCTGCAGTCTCTTATCTTGAACTGTTGGGGGTTTACAAATGTAAAAATTCATCAAGTTGCATTCTTTCTATCTATGTAGTTTGTGGTAACTTACTCACTCTACAAAGGTACTTCAAAAAGTTGGTGGAAAAATAGAATTAAAGGATAATACAAATCTTTCCATGAACTTTTTGAAGACGACTCATAAGTAATTCATAGCTCGATTAAAAACGAAAGCGATTGATAGAAAAGGGGGAGAGAGATGGGCTACATTGTACGTACCACTGCAAAGGTACGTTGTCCCCAGGTCTGACTCACAGAAACCTTTAACAGTTGAGGTGAAACTGGGATATTAATTTGGAGAAATAATCACTGAGATAATTAATATAAAGCAGTGGTTTTGTAATGACTGATTTTTTTTTATTAACTTCTATTTTCTTTATATTCTAGTTAATAAAAGTAGCCATGGAGAACACTGAAAACTCAGTGGATTCAAAATCCTTTAAAAATTTGGGAACGTGAGTATTTTAATGGAATCCTATATAATGAGAGGAGGGTGGGTATATGTAATACAGCGAACTCTGAGGAGTGGGGAGGCGAAAAGAATGTGGACTTTCAACCAGAGAGACCAAGCTGACTTCCTACCTCGGACAGCTGTGTGGCTTTGCATAGGTTCACTTATGCTCTCTGAACCTCATCTTTAAAGTGGAGGTAACACAACTTCCACAGAACAGAGGATGAGGAGAAAGACCTAGTACGGTGCCTGACCCGTAGTGGAAACCTAGTCCTGAAATCAGAAGGACACCACAGGAGAGGCAGCACTCCCAAGTCTGGGTGCTCTGTGCCTTCCCAGATAACTCGACAGGATTAGAGATTTTGTGTTTGGGGAGGGCAGAAGGTTTACCTGATGTTTGAGTTTTAAGACTAAAATACGGTGTCAGTTTTCAGTATGAGGAAGAATTGCCTAGGTATGGATTATCTTTTACCCTTTGTTTTTCTCTTGTCTTCCTTTTTTGAATTTTCTACTTATTAATGCTTCCAACAACCAGCAGATGGAGAAAGGCAAAAGATAAAACTCAAACACTCTTCATTTAACTCATGCCTGTTATTATCCATTTGGGATCTCATGATATTTTTAATTCTAAAAGTTTATTTCTGAGACCTAGTATTACTGTTCTGGACCATCCTGGGAATTGCAAATTAATTTTATTACAGGTTGAGTATCTCTTATCCGAAATGCTTGGGACCAGAAGTGTTTCATATGTTGGATTTTTTCAAATTTTGGAATATTTGCAGAATACATACTGGTTGAGCATCCCTAATTCGAAAATCTGAAATCTGAAATGCTCCAATGAACATTTCTTCTGTTTCATATCAGCACTCAAAAAGTCTCAGATTTTGGAGCATATCAGATTTAGGATTTTTGGGTTAGTGATGCTCAGCCTTTACTATCCCTAATTCGAAAATCTGAAATCTGAAATGCTCCAATGAACATTTCTTCTGTTTCATATCAGCACTCAAAGAGTCTCAGATTTTGGAGCATATCAGATTTAGGATTTTTGGGTTAGTGATGCTCAGCCTTTACTAAACAATAGCATTACAGCAATGCTATTAACAAGTTACCAATAAAGATTTAGCAATTTTTTTATCAAAGAAATTTTCCTAGAAATTAAAATTTTGAAATATAATCCTAGAGAGTTTTTGTTCATTGTCATCATTGTTGTTTAAAGCCTTTTAAAGTTATTTACATGTTTTCCTACCTTCTTTTCACATCATACAGAGCATTATTTAAATAACAAATTGCATGAGAGCCCCAAACATGTTTAGGGTTGTTTTGATGCTATGGTAAATTAACCCTCACGTTCCCAGACCTTTTGAGTCTCTGCTCTTTCTCAGCTGTGTTCCATCTTGGTCTAGATATCAAATTGCTGGTAGATTACTTACCTCCTAAGGAGGCAGAGGGAGAGAGGGGAGAACAGGTTTCAGGAGATGGGAGTTACAGTTCTATGATTCATTATCTGTATGACCCAAAGCTCAAGTCAGCTTTCAGGCTTTTAATTTTCTCCATAAAATGTGTGACTCTTCACTTTTAGCTAAATATAATAGTTCTTTTCTGACCTTGACTCCTTTAATTTACTACTTTTAATTTTTTTCCAACAATATTTTTGAAATTATGTATAATGTGAAATACTGTAAGGTTAAGTACATGTACTCATAAGGTTAAGTACCTGAATTTTAGGTATTGGTGTTTGACTTTCCTAGACCTATTATTTCCTAGTTCTTGTTCTAGATCACGAGTTATGTTTGTGGGCTGTTTTTGTCACATTTTATTGGAACATAACCACACCCATCATTTACATATCATCCCGGGCTGTTTTTACAAGCAGAATTTAGATAGCCTGCAGGCCAAATATACTTAATATTTGGCCCTTGAAGAAAAAGTTTACTGTCCCCTAGTCTAGGTAGTGGATGTTTTTGGAGAAGTGACTTCCAAACAAAGGTATTTTCAATTATTTATAATGGTGCTTCTTTGTATTAATAAATTTTTAATTTATTCAACTCATAGTTTAAGGAGCAGTTTAGGACTTGTGGTAGATAACGGTGCTTTGGGTCATATTTGCATTTTGTTGGTTTCCTATTATTTCAGGGTAATTTTTAAGATTTTACTCTTACCTTGAAGGATAAAATATTTCACAAAGTTATAAGAAATTTTTAAATTACAAAATGTACTTGATGAGATTTTACTTAGATTCAGAGGAAAACATTAAAATATAGAAGTTAAAAGCCTGAACTCTAAAGTCCAACAGATGCTTTCCTTCCACTGTGACTGTGACACAGTGTCTACACAGCCTTCAGCATATTACTTATCCTCATGGCAGATCATTTTCTCATCTGTAAAAATGGGTTGTTGTGAAATTTAAATGACGAAAGGCCTGTAGTACAAAGTTTGGTACAAAACACTCAATAAGGTTAACTGTTCTTATCAGTTATAAAAGTCATATTAGTATAAACAGAAGGAGTGGTCATTTCTACCTTTGTAAACTGTTGTTTGATTTCCAAACAGAGAGATCATACATGGAAGCCAGTCAGTGGGCTCTGGAATATGCTTGGATGATAGCTACAAAATGGATTATCCTGAAATGGGTTTATGTATAATAATTAATAATAAGAACTTTGATCAAAGCACTGGTAGGTACCTTACGTAGTTTTTAATCCCTTTCAAATATTTGTGCCATTTATATTTGATGTAATATAAAAGCCAGTATTGATGTGTAACTGTGACACAGAATAGCTGTGAAGTAGAGCTAGGGCAGGACCCTACAGCCTCCACAATACAATATGAACTCCTACCTCTTCTGCCTGTCTTCAAAACCCTTCCCTCTTCCGTCACCTAATAACCTCCTATCTGTATGCTTGGTGTCTTCTGCCCTGACTCCTCTGTAACCCTTGCTTCTTTTTTTTCTGTTGCCTCTTTTATACCAATGGAAGTTTCTCAACGGATAGTAAGTACCTGTAGTAGTATTTTTCCTTTCTGGAAACTGCAAGGCATATCACAGGTACTGACTCATTTAATTTTTACAACTCTGAAAAGTAGCTACTGTTAGATTCAGAAAGGTTAAAATCCTTGCATAGCCACACAGCAAGTATAGGAACAGAGCTGGGATCTGGGCCTTGGTCTGTCTGACTCCAAAGCCCAAGCTATTAATCCATCGTCTGTTCTGCTTTGCTTCCCCGTGTCTTCATCTGCTCTGTTGTCTTTTTACTCTTGCCCTGCAAAGATGGCAGAGATGCCCCATCTCATGGAGGCCTTTCTTTTACCCTGCTTCCTCGTAATTCCTCTGTTTATCTCCTTCCCTAGATTTTGAATATGTGTTATTCAGCTTGCCCTCTTCACTTCTTTCCTTCTGGAACTTAGTTTTCTGTTTTCTGCCTCTGCTACTGAAACTGCTGTCTTTCCATTCACATGGCCTGATCACCAAATCCCATTCTCAGTCACTGTGCTGTGTATAGTTTGAATCTAATATAACATTTTAGAATATTTTTAGAGAATATAGAGAATAAAATCCTCACAATCCCAAAAGGCTATTTAATATTTCAGTTTATTACTTGATATTTTTTGACAGTTTTTTAAAAATCTTGATTCTGTTAATAACATGCAAGCAATATTGTATCCTGCTTTTTCCATTTAATGTATTTTTTCATGTTGCTGCATAATTTTTATATCTGTTATTTTAATGATTATATAATACTTCACTGCCTGAACATACCATTTCTTTAATTTGCATAATTTACCATATGAATGAACCTTTTGTCTATTTCCTTATTTTTCATTTTTAAATTGGTGCTGTGTTGATTCTTTGAATTGGCATATTAATCAAATTAGAATTAATTCTCAATTAATTCTAGATGCCGTAGATCTAATTTAAGAGACTACCTACCAGAGTGGTGGTAAAAAATGGAGGGAAGCCAGACTACATTGGAAAGATAAGCAGGATTTGATGTTAGATTAGTGAGGAGAGAATAGTTGAAAATGGGTCCTAAACCTGAATGGCATCAGTGTTCTTGCTTTTGGCTATAAGTTGAGATACCACCTTCAATCATTAAAGAAAGAAAAGACAAAACATCTTGTTTCTTTTTGTTTTATGAATTTTTAAAAGTTTACAGATATTTTGTCTCATATTGCTGGTTGTGATGCCTTCTTCTGTAGATAGACTTTTACACTGTTGAACCTATTCTTTTTTTTTTTTTTTTTTTTTAAAGCATGTTATTCCACTCTTTCCCCCCACAAAAGTTTAGACCAGTAGTCTGGCTTTTACCTTATAGTGAGCTCCTTTTCTAGTTTGAGATTTGAAGGTCAGGTTCACACAAGATCTCTGGCAGTGTTTTCTGTTCTGTCTGCTAAGTGGCTGCATGGCATCCCCGGCCTTTCCGATGACAAAATATTGATGAGTTTAATTTTATGAAAATAATATATGCCCATAATAGAAATTTTAGATTAGCAAAAGTAAATAAATAAAATCACTCCTGATCACACTACCCAGAGATAATCAACAGTATTTTAGAGATATAGATATTTAGACTTTTTATATTTAGTCTTCATGCATATTGAATTTATTCAGTTCTAAGGGTGTGCTTCTCCCAGTGTTTTAGCATTTTTGAAATCTGACAGCAAAATATAATCAGTCTCTACAATTTCAATCTGTACATTTATGGGGAAAATACTATAAAGAAGTGGTAAAAAGCCCAGGACTTCTGGGTCCGGCCCCGTGGCTTACTCACGAGAGTGCAGCGCTGGTAGCCCGGAGGCCGCGGGTTCGGATCCTATATAGGGATGGCCGGTGCGCTCACTGGTTGAGCGTGGTGCAGACCACACTGTGCCAAGGGTTGTGATCCCCTTATTGGTCAAAAAGAAAAAAAAGCCCAGGACTTTTGGATAAAGGCTAGCACTAGCTTTGTCACTTTAGACAAGTTTCTTAACTCATCTGTGCTACATTCCCCACATCTGTAAAAATGAAGCTAGTAATACTATCTCATGGTGTTACAAAGGGTTAGAGATTGCCCATAGCAGAAAGCCCGATGAACAGTATTAACGTGGTAGTGGTTTTTCTTTCTTTTTTTCTAAAAAAAATTATGAAATTAGTAATATATCTTAAAATTGTTAGAAACTGAGACTGTCTGGTTAGCTCAGATGGTTAGAGCACAGCTTTGTAAAACCAAGGTCAAGAGTTCAGATACCTGTACTGGCCAGCTGCCAAATATATATATATATATATATATTAGAAACTTAGAATCAAAGAAATACAGTTCCTTTAAGTGTGTGTGTTATACACAAGTATATATACTTTTTTCTTAAACAAAAGTAGGATCATATGATTTTTTAGTCCTTTTTTTTTTTTTTTTTTTTTTTTTTAACAATGACAATTTTCCCCTGGCAAAATTTTGTCTGCAAAAAGGACAACATAGCATTCCATTATATAAATGAATCATAATTTATTTAGCCAAACCCCTACCGATAGGCATTTAAAGTTGTTTCTGTTTTTTTTTTTTTTCTGCTCAGCAGCTATGAAGGATATTCTTATGGCTATCATATTGATACAGCTTCTATTATTTTATTTTTATTTTTTATTTTTTTCCTTTTTGTCTTTTTTCGTGACCGGCAACGGATCGCAACCCTCAGTGTCGCGCCCGTACCGGACCGGCAACGGGATCGCAACCCTCGGTGTTGTGCCCGCACCTCGCTCAGCCAGTGAGTGGCCAGTCTGTATGTGGGATCCGAACCCTTGGCGGGAGCGCCGCCACACTCCCAAGCGGCGCACTGTAGCAGTGCGCCACTGGGCCGGCCCCGATACAGCTTCTATTATAAGTCCTATATGCTAAGAAGTTAAAGAGACTTTGTGTCACCATGATCAGAATAATTAGAATTTTCTTAGCATTTAAAAGGAAGCATTTATTGTGGGTTTTGTGAATCGTTGTATAGTTTATTTTATTTCAAAGCAGTTATTCTTTTTTTTAAAATGCATTTAAGAGTAATTTTTTCTGTTCCAAGGAATGAGTCCTCGGATTGGTACCGATGTAGATGCAGCAAGCCTCAGGGAAATATTCATGAACTTGAAATACGAAGTCAGGAATAAAAATGATCTTACATGTGAAGAAATTTTGGAATTGATGCGCAATGGTAAGAAATAACTAAAAGAATGACCTTCATTGTCCAAGCTGTGACCTTGTCCAACAATGACATTCATTGTTCTAGCTATCATTATACAAATAAGGAAGTATGAGAATAGCAGAATTATACTGTACATAATCCTAACCTTATACATTTTTAGTAAGAAGTAAAAAAAAGTTGTTCATGCCAACTCTCTAAAATGCTTTGAGGTATGTTGCTCTGCCCGAGATTGGGTTTAGGTGATCTCTTTGTTCTGTTCTCAATTTCTTTATCTTATTCCCATACAGCAGATGTGAGATTGTTGAATAAAGTTGCAGGGTTTTTTTCCTTTTATTTGTAAATGTCTTTCCAGTTTCTAAAGAAGATCATAGCAAAAGGAGCAGTTTTATTTGTGTGATTCTAAGCCATGGTGAAGAAGGAGTAATTTTTGGAACAAATGGACCTATTGACCTGAGAAAATTAACAATTTTGTTCAGAGGGGATTATTGTAGAAGTCTAACTGGAAAACCCAAACTTTTCATTATCCAGGTAAAGTATAACTGAACAATTTGGTCATTAAGGATTAATCAGGGATTAATTTACTCAATAGTGGATTATCGAAAGAATTTATTTTTTTTCTTGAGGCTACAGAACTAATGTTACTTTTTTATTCATTTAAACCACCACTTAGAAAATATGGAGTAAATTTCAATTTTAGACATATCAAAAAGACTCAGCATATTTAACATCAATTTTTACACAGCATTTCTATTTCTTAGAAATGTTATGTGTATTCACACATTTTTTTAATTTTAATTTTTATTTTTTTGTTTGGTTTTTTTTTTGGCAGCTGGTCCAGTATAGGGATCGAGCACTGGACCTTGGTGTGATCAGCACCATGCTCTAACCAACTGAGCTAACCAGCCAGCCCTGTTTTTTTTAAATAAACATTTATTCTCTAACATTCAGGCCTGCCGAGGTAGAGAACTGGACTGTGGCATCGAGACAGACAGTGGTACTGATGATGAGATGATGTGTCAGAAAATACCAGTTGAGGCCGACTTCTTGTATGCGTATTCCACAGCACCTGGTAAGAAAGTTACAAATAAGTGTTATATGCAGATTTTAAATGAATTATACTGTGACTAACTGTAGAATTAAACAATAAAGAGTGTGTTTGATATCCCTGAAGAATAGCTAATTTGTCTATATTTTAGGGGAACTTAACCACAGAGAAGTCTCAAAAAGTTGTCTTTAGCCAAAATTTTGGCTAGAAAATATGCATACACATATATATAGGAGAGTAGACTAACACCATGCCATTCATGAACTTAATACTAGATAGTATATTATACAGCAGCAGAGGCAAAGTCAGAACTTCACCCACTTTTTAAAGCAGAAGAGAGGTATGTTTTCCAGGAATTCTTTGGAAGATAGGAATTTAAAAAGATAAACATGATTAGTATAGGAGAGAAGATAGATGTAGAGTGGGAGAAAATAAAGAAGATAAAAAATGATATATATGAATATGCATTACCTCCACTTTTTTGTGGTTGTATTGCTCATGTCTTCTTAAAAATATTTATTGATTGTACAGCTATTTACTTACACAACTCACATAAGAGAAGTGTATTTTTAAACAGTGTTAAATTTTCAGATTTGCTCAGTATGGTTTCCTTTATCCTCCAGGCATCTTTCCAGGCAAAATACTTCTAAATTAAAAACAATGGGTCCAATAGTTAATCTGAAAAAAAATACAATACACTGTTTTTCCTTTTTAGACCTTTTGAATACTCTGTAATGTGTTTATTACACTTCATTTAAATGTCCTTACACACACTAAGGACACTGAAATGTATATGCATACATACCAATTTATTTCTTGGCTAAGCCAATATTTTTTTTTTTTTTTTTTTTTTTTTTTTTTTTT